AAAAAAAAAAAAAAAAAAAAAAAAAAAAAAAAAAAAAAAAAAAAAAAAAAAAAAAAAAAAAAAAAAAAAAAAAAACAGGTTAAAATGTTTAAAACATTGACAGCTGAGTTTGAGACTGAAATAGTTGTTTTTGAATGGTTAATTTTCTGTATCGAAAATCGTTTCGAAGAAACATTCATACGAAAAAAAATTCTTTTATTAAATTATCCTATTTATTAAAAGAATTTATAAATATCAAAAAAGCATTGCATTTAAAGATGCAAACTGTTAATTTCAAAATTAATCTTTTCTACTAATGCTAAATAAATTGCGTCATAAATTTACGATAACAATGATATCAAATGGTTTAAAATGTATTAACGTTAAAATTATTTTAAACTGAACAATCATGTTTTAAATCATTTACCATTCCTAATCGAGTTACAAACTAGTTTTAAACCTTGAAATTATCATTATTTAAATATAGATTTTAATAATTTAGATATTTGTTCTATAAGATTATATTTGACACAAAAGAACTTACTTTGTATACTAATTAGTTAAATTTTTTTTCTTTAAGTTCATGCACAATGAATAAACTTTTTAACAAAGATATCATAATATATAAAAACGAATAAAAATTTATTCTTTTTTACGCATCAAAACATTAAAGTTCCTATCAAGTTAAATAAAGAAAGTGTATTGTGGTTTTGATTTTTTAGGGCGGTTATTTTTTATGGATCTATTTTACTTTATTTATTTTTCTTTTTTTGATACTACGTAAGTTCTCTATTTATAGGAAACGGTTAATCAAAATTTTAAGCATACGTACGTACTGTACGTACGTATGAGAGGACTTAAAATGTCAATATGTAAATGGCTGCAATATTAATGTAAAAAAAGAAAGCAGTATACATAATATCCATATAAGGATAATAAAGGTATTACGAAATCTGCGAATTTTCCAAAAAAATTTTTCTTATCAAAGTTTGCGATAAACCTAACGTTATACGTATCAAATATATCTATATATATATATATTTATATATTCTTTTTTTTTAAATTTACATTTACAGTTAAGTAATTTAGAATTTACACTAACCTTAGTTTATCGCTGTCGAAATAACAAAAAAAAATTTTTTTTGTGAATACAGTATCATGAATAAATCGAATACTCGATTACATTGAAACAATAATCCCATTGATCAAAAATCGATTCCCAAATTATGTACGTACATTATTCACAACAAGAATTTTTTGTTGGTTATTTCGAAAATAGCAATAATAGATTTACGAAATTAAGAAATTTAAAAAAAAGTAAAATTCATTTTGACAGACATACGTAAATGAATTACCTTGAAACGTCGAGTGCGCGTGAACATCCGGATGTCAAAATAATTTAATTTTCTTTATACGCATTAAAGATTACGTAAATTAAGACTTAAATCGGAAAAAAGATATAAATATGTTATTTACGGTACAGAGGTGCTGTAAATAAATAAATATTAATAGATAAAAAATGCCAAGTCGAGAATGTAATACGTATAATTTATACTGTTATATCTGAAATGATATCTGAAATGAAGAAGTACGTACGACGTACGACATGCGTACATGCAGTACATATTCATATATTTAAAATATGACAATTATATTAAGAAATGACAATTATATTAAGAAATGACAATTATATTAAGAAATGACAATTATATTAAGACAATAATTATTCCATAGCAAATCTGCGTTAAAAAGTATGATAAGCGAAATTTCTTGATAAGATTATAAATATCGTTTGAAGTTAATGCAAATTTGCATAGTATCAATCTTACTTTATTTTACTTTATTTTACTTTATTCAAAAATGATTAAACTTCGTTCTAAGTGAAAATTTTCTTTAATATTTATACTATCTTTGTCAATCGAATATTATATTATTCAATTATATTATTCAATTATATTAATCGAGTCTGATAGTTATTTCCAGAATCTATATTGGTCATAAATAAAAAATACACAATAACTTCCAAAAGTAATTGCTATTACTATATTTTATTTTATTTCACTGTATTTTATTTGATTCTCGTGTGACCAAATATTTAGAAATTTTTAAAATAATCTGTATAAAAAAAACAAAGCCGCGCCAAGTGCAGAAGTGTGAAACTTTCAAGACACAAGGGTTACATAAAAATATTTTTTTCAAAAATTTTCCTTATAAATAAGCCAAGTTTGCCGTATTGAAATAACTCATTCTTAATTTCATTATTAAGAATATAATTAATGATCGAATACGTACACGTATGTACATTGATTCAGAAAAAAAATTTTTGAAAAAACCTTCAATGTTTAAAAAAACTCATAATTCGATCACAATGCCGCGCAGTGAGAAGTCAATTAAAGATTTTAAATTATTGAGCGATACAAGATGTCGTCTCTTATTATTAACATTTATAGCATTAACACTTATAACAATATTTTCAACAATAAATCCTGATTATAATAATGATGTGCTAATTGAAGTAAATGTTATATTACCACAACATTCAAGTGTTGTCAATAGTAATAATAATATCGATATTAATAATAATGATAATATCGATATTAATAATAATGATAATATCGATATTAATAATAATGATATTATTAATAATAATAATGATGATGATGATGATGATGACGATGAAATTTTAAATGTTGCCAACGAAAAGGAGAAAAGACCACTGGCTGGATATGTAATAGATTTAAATCGAATTGATGAACATTGTGAACCTGATAATTATAACAAATCAATTCTTAAAAAATATCCAATGCAAGATTGCTTGGATTATCTTGACAAAAAACAATTCGATTATCTTATAAAACCTGATTCACCAAAATATTGTAATGAAAATGATCCAATGTTGTTTCATGTTTTTTGGAGAGGAAATGTGACCGACAAATTATCTTTATTTATAAAATCTTTTTTATATACTCAACCATTAAAATGTTCCCTTTTATACGTTTGGCTTGATGATGTAAACGAAGATATTCAATCAAATCCTTATATTTTACAATTACTTCGATTCATTGGAAAAAATATTGAATTTAAAAGATGGATAACAGAAGATCAACTTAATTTTAATCCTTTATTCAACGGTTGGGAACGTTTATTAAAAAAATCAAATCGAAAAAAAGTTGTTGGATTCAGTGATTTAGTACGATTCACTTTACTTCATCGATATGGTGGAATGTATTTTGATGCTGACGCACTTTTACTTAGAGACATTAGTCCGCTTTATAATTTAGACATTGACTTTGCTTACAGATGGAGTGTATGGAAACACTATAATACAGCTATATTACGACTTCATTCTAATAGTACTGTGGGAAGATTAATTATTGAAGCTGCGATGAAAAATAAATTAAATTTTCATCCAATGTCTATTAGAACTTATCTCGTAAATAAATCAATAGAATCTATGACAAGAGATGATTTGAATGAACATCTTTATATGATGCCTGTACTCTTGTTTGATCCTTTATGGTTAAAAGCTGATTTACATCATAAGAAAATTCAATTGAACCCAAATTTATATAGATGGCAAGATGCATATAATCCAACCCTTTTAGGAAATGAGTTTCCAGGAAGCGTATATGATAATTCAACAAATCCATTAGAATTGAGGAAAATGAATAACTTTTTCAGAGGTGCTTTCACTTATCATTGGCATAATCAATGGAAAACGATAATTCAACCAACATCTTGGCTAGGTGTAATGCAAACTGCTTATGATGCATTTCTAGAAGGCAAAGATTCTAATATATATGATGAATATTTGCCTTTATGAAATTAATTAAAAAATTATTTATTAAAAAAACTATTTTTATTTTTACAAAAAAAAAAAAACATTAATACAATCAAACGCTACGATCTTAATTAAAGTTGTCGATCCATAGCTTTTTAAAATAGTAAGAGGCTAAAGAAATTAATTAGGGTCTGAATCATCTTTAAAAGTATTACGTATGTATTAAAGCAGGGATTATCGTTATAGGTAGAATTACTTTTTGACATTTTTTGATTAATTCCCTTACGGAATTGGTTTAGATATCATCTTTTTTAGTATTTTTTTGCCTCAATAAAACTTGTAAAAATTTCACAATTGATTTGTCAAATAAATTTTAAAAGTACCAAAAAAAAATTAATGAATTTCAAATTTCAAATGACCTATTTGTATGACAGTAAGTATCTTGTACTTTGTACGAATCATGCAAATCTTTTTACATGAGGTTGTAAAACTGATCAAAAATGGTAATTTCGATAAACCCATGACATAGTCTTTATGATGATTTAGGATGTTTTAGGATGCTTAAGATGTTTATGTGGTTAGATTTTGATGATAGGCTTTATCGTTATCTTGGACATGAAAAAAATATAACGATATTTAATAATTCATCCCCTAAAACTTTTTGATATAAATTTATTTCTTTTCAATAACTTATTAAAAAATAAAATTAAAAATGAAGAATCCTAAAGAAATGACTGATGAAGAGCTTTATCATGCTCTAAAAGCTCGTAAAATTCGTTTAGGTGTAGCTCACGAAGTTGCAAATACTTATTCACCACGTCGTGTAGTCTTAACAACTATTATTAGTCCTGTTCATGCAGTACGTCAAGTTAGTGTTAACGTAACTGGTACAGTTGCTCATGAATATACAAAGTCAAAAATGGATGATGTGGCCAAAGAAATGGATCAAAGAGGTCTTGACTCTAAAAAATTTGATAATGATCCTGAAACTGAAGTTTATATAAGTAAATGGGTTAAACTTTGGAAATGTGTTAAACTCATTGGTTCCATCGTAGCTATCGATTTATCTGAAGTTCATGGGTTGATTGAAGTTGTAAGCGATTTACATGAAGCTGCTGTCGACTTTTGTGATGTTATTAATGATATTAGTGAATTATGTCTTGCTATAATGGATGGTGATCATTTTGATAATGTTCAAGATGGATTTATTCATGCTTCAAATGCTGTAGATAATTTAACTGCTGTAGATAATTTAAATTCTGATTCACTTTTTGAAGGATTTAAAAATGTGACTTCATCTATCGATCTTTCAACTTTTATTAGTAAATTTACTTTATTCACTAATGGAAAATTGAAATCTGAAGTTGAAGCTGTAATTGAAGTTGTTGACCTTGTGGATGAAACCAAAGAAGTCTTTACGGATGATAAAAAGGTTTCTACGGAAAATACTGTAAAACCAGTTAAACCTAAACGTTTCGTGGTTAATATTGCTAATCTTCGTAAAATTTTGGAAAATCAAATTTCTAAATGTCCTACCACCAGACAATTATTCATTTCTTCAAAATCTGAAAATACTGAAAATTTAACTACGGATGTGACAAAAGATGATAATGAATCATTGACAAAAGAGAAATCTGATTCTGTTCTCAATGAACGTATTCAAAATATTACTACTGCGGCTGCTTCAATTAATATTTCTAATATTGGTACTCAAATTTCTCAATATACTTCTAAATCATCAAAGAAACTCTCTGACAATAATAACATGTAATATATTTCATATATATTTAATATATATATTGTGAAAAATCATATAATATCTTTTTAAATGAGCCCAAATATGTATGTAAAATGCAAGATACTTAAAAAAAAGTCTAGTCTCTACAAGTTGCATTTAGAGAGGTTTGACTGTAATCGTTAATCATTATACTAATTACGGTCAAACCTTTCTAAATGCAACTCGTAGGGACAAAATTTTTAATAAAAAAAATTGTAATTACTGAATTAGAAGAATTTTTTTAGGAGATTTGACTGTATATGACATGCATATATTTATTATTTTATTTGTCGTAACTTACCTTTTTTTTTTGTGCATTTTAAAATCCAGTTTTCTTCCAATTCCTATAACATCAAATTTGCATACTAATTTTTATTTAATGTTCCAATTGCTTCTCGCGCTATCACATTGTTTTTAAAATATAGCTATGTTCTGCATTATTTAAAATATTGTAAAACATTATTTAGAAGTGTATATCGAAATTACTACAATCTAGGTTGTGCGATCGCATTTTAGATCAATAAAATTCAAATGTTAACGCGTAAACATAATCAATAAAATTCAAATGTTAACGCGCAGGCATAAATAAAATTCAAATGTTAACGCGTAGGCATAATCAATAAAATCAAATGTTAACGCGCAAGCATAATCAAAAATTTCACAAATCCTGATCACTCTCTAAGTGTTAAACGAAATAAGACAGTTGTCAAAAATCGAATATGATATCCGTTACAAGAGGTTTAATTTTAGTATTATCACATGAATTTGCATTGTTCTGTTCACAATAGGGAACCCCATTGGAAGCACAAGAATCTTGTCTCGGATTGAACAGTCCGACCTCCATTATACAATAAGAAAAATTGCATTTATGGAAATATATTCTGAACAGAGTTTGAGATTGCATTTAAAGAGGTATTGCATTTAAGGGGGTTGCATTTAAGGGGTTGCATTTAGGGAGGCCTGACTGTATGTCTACAAAATACTGAAATAGCACGAAAGTTTTTCAAAAATCGCCGATAACACAAAATTTTATTTATGAAATCAACTTTCTCACAAAAAAAAAACATTGTAAAATTTTAGTGTCATCCATTAATTATCTTTGCACTAATCATAACGATATGCTTTATTATTTTAATATTGAATTCTATATTTAATATTTCGAGAATTTTGATATCTTGTCCAACCAAGTAAAAAGATAATGGGCGAAATTAGTGAACCTTTCACAACATCCCGAATTTTAGTGGTAATTTCGTTTCGGAATAACCTTACTCTTTTTGATAATTTACCACTAAAAATTTATATAGTAGTAATTTCGTTTCAGAATACGTAACCTTACTGTTTTTGATAACTTACCACTAAAATTTATAAATTCGTAGATCTCATTTAACAAGAGATTAGGTGTAATGCAGTAATGTAACAAACACAATCCTGCAATCTTGAAGATCCAAAACAAACGTACGTACGTACTTGAATCACAAAGAATTAGAAGATTATAATCAAGATTCTTTATAGTATTTAATTTCTTTAGTAAATTAATAATTATTACCAGTAAAAACCCGAATTTGAAAAATTGACATTGATTTCTTTTAGTCACATATTGTAAGATATTAAAGTAGATTAAAAATATTCATTGAATTAAGCAATTAATTTTTGTTATACATCATATACAATTAAAATTATCGTACGATACTGCGTAGAGCACTGCATACAGCACGTACGTACGTAAGCACGTACGCCGATTTTTTAAAATTCACATGTATTTATAGTCTTGACGGCGAATATGTGATACATAGGCTTTGCAATTAATTGCCCCCACAATCAATTATTCGGTACGTACGTACGTACGTACTGTCGTAGCCGCTTGGAATTAAGTTACTATATATTTAATAAATTTTGTAAAGAAATTGTTTAACATTGTTACTATATTTGGATAGTAAAGAGTAAATTACTGTAATATTAGTACATATAAATCATATTTTAACCTCAATTTTTTGAGCCATAGTATTTGGAACACACATAATGGTATTGTCATAATTTCGTAATAAATAATAATTTAAAATTTATAAGTGTGTGGAAATACCAAAATCGGGAGTGTAAATAATTTTATATACCGATACAGTATATAGTTAAAAAAAATTGTTAAGTTACACTTTTTTGTAACCATGCTGCTACGTAATTAAAAATCATACAACTAAATATTATTATGGCGTAATTTGGCTTATACCGTAACTGGTCATATATGAGTGCTGTCATAGGCAGACATTCGTACGATTGGCTGTTTAAATTAATTTAATTTTACATTATTTACACAGTTTAAAGTACTTTTCAAAAAAAAGAAACCTACGAAAAATAAACAAAAAAGAAGTATATGGAAAGGTTTATTAGGGTCGTAGAACTTCACTATTAAAAATGATCAAAATTCTTTTTTGTTTTAGCATAATAACAACTTCTAAAATTAGGTT